GTCGAACTCTCAATTTTGTTTCATGATGTCACTAATGCACTAATCTCCAGCTTCCATAATTGCGCGGTCATAGCAAAGGGGCTTGATCATGTTGACAAGTCAACCGCATGTGTCTAGACAGCGTCGATTATCAGCATCGTGAGTTGAATAGAGGATTCAGACATATTTGGAGGAATGTCTAATGAGATGGAGTGAAGTGGTCCGGGCACTAGACGATGGAACAACGCAGGAGCAACGCGACGCTGGCTAAAGAAGGAGGGCTGCATGACGAGTTCTGAAACTGCATGGCAGCTCCAGCTGTAGTGCTATGTTTGTGGTGCTGCAGTGACTCGAAAGATAGTTCTTTTCTTCTATGCGCACCTGTGTTACAGCTTGACTGTAATTAATCTTGTTTTACTGCTTCCAACCCTACTTTTTTCATATATCCGTCTTGGCCATTATCCTCTTGGTGAGCTACTCTAATGCTAATGTCATCTTGTAGGACCCGCAACTATAGGTTGCTCTACTAGACACCATTCCTCATCGGATATTACCACTCTTATGCTGGTTTATACATGAAGGGTATTTTTCACTCTTATAGTGCTAACGGTTGGAACCAAATGTTCAACATGTAGGTCAACACCCCCACTCATTATCGCAACTTACAATAAGAGAGTGATTTTGCCTTAACGTTTAGAGTAAATACAGGCATTCGGGGAAAGCTGTGGTCAGCTGCACATTATTGCTTGATCATGCTCGTGGAACATTAACGCACTATTAGACAGATGAACAATGCAAAAAAAGTAAAACAGTCAAATATCGTGATGTTACCATTTACCCTTACAAGGTTTCTAGTGGGCGTTGAAATGCAGTTAACTTTCATTAGGATATCGGTGTGCTAGTCATGCAGGAAGAAACCACAGTTAGTCTTGGTAAATTTTACTCGTGTTTATTTCTGTGCCTAGTTTCTTTCAACAAATCAAGTCAGTTCGGAAAGATTATTTGTAATGGCTTGAAAGATAAATTGTATCAATTATGTACAATTTTATTATATAGCTAGACTGCGCGAGATTTATTCTTGGTTCACGGCTCTCCACTCTACATCCATTTAGTTACCCATCTGACCTGTGAGTGAGGTCCGATTTGTCCATCCGCTTTTCTGTGGCTCCAGCAATTATAGCCTATGTACTCTACTACATTTGCCCCCTCTAATATTTACACAGTATCACAATGAGCAGAGGAGTAGCACGGAGGCAAGTGATTATGAACGAGTAGGAAGCGGTAACATAAGAACAAATTAGTTAGAGCGGAGCTGAGTTCAAGGTCAACACAGAAAATGGGAATTATCTTTCAGATGGCTACGTTATCCAACAACACTTAACTGTTTAACCTATCGAAACATTCAAGTTATACCAATAAGTTGATTACAGTAGTAGAGTGTATTTACGAAAAGACGAAAATGGTTGTGCGGTTGGTCACAGAATTTTTGACCATGGCGATGCAGATTGCTAATGACCTAACTGCTAGGTTATTTTTCATGCTAAAAGTTTGCAGTCAGTGTGTGCATAACGGCTTTAAGAAAAACATGCAAGGAAAAGTCGCAAGTTTAACCCCAAATAAGTGTTCGATAATGCAATCGAACGGTTTATATTAACGAGGATGACGTCATGATACAACTCCAATAATGATCATAATAATAATAATGGGTACATTTCACTTTAAGTGAGGAACTACGTCCATAGCTGGCACAGGTCATACATGTACAGGCAGTTGCATGCTCTTGTCTGGGCAACATGAATTTGTGGAGAATAAAAACAGCTGTATATTTCTCGTCTGTGCAATGCACAGTCCAACTGGATGTCACGAATTTGGGTATACGGCGGAATTGTAAGGAGCAGATGTTGCATTCTTTGAAATTTCCAAAGTGATTCTCACACTATTTTTGGTGGACATGGCCAATTGATCGGGTAAGTCTTTCGGGGAGATTGAGAAGTCTTAAAAATAATAAGTGTAAATAAATCCAACTGTATAAGTGAATTACCACTGGCATTTATGGAACCGTCTCCTGTGGACCTGCCTCCATGCGGATTATTCCCTCGATGGGTTTCACCCGCATTTCCGTGCTCTTGTACTGGTGTGGCTTTTAAAGCAGGTAAGCCATCACCTACGTAACTCATACTTAGGGATGCTTTTCTGTGTATATGGTGTGGACAGTCAAGCCATCTAGCCTGTAGCATCAATTGGCTTTTGAGTTAAGTACTTTTTCTCGCCAGGGAATCAATGTCAATGCATGGGTATAATTATTAGCGTAGGAAGATTTAATCCATCACTTCAGGAAATGGACCCCGTCGTAGCCAACAGTGAAGGAAAGAAGAATATAACATGCGGAGACAAATGGGTAGTGACAGTGTGATAGTTAAAAGAAATGGCATATTTTGCTTTGCGCAAAAAAGACCGATCGATCAAAGTGTACAGGGGTAGTATCGAAAACGGATGACTGCTCGGAGTATCCATATGCTAGACGGTTCAGAAAATAATTTTCAGGTTCCTCATCATTTGCTAGCGTTCGAAAAGTACAAGAAGTGATAGCGCTGAGCAATTAGGCCTGCTCTTTGTTCCTGGGCTGTCGCCTCCGGGACAGAAGGGGAAATAGGTAACATTACAGTGGGAGTGTAAAAAGATAGCCATGAGTAAGCAAAAATAAAAGAATATCTTATGTCTCGATAGTGCGAGAGACGGACCGTGTGGTTAACTCGATCACATTTGCAATTGAATCGTCAAGATTGGTTTGCACTCAATCCGCTCAGAAGAAAAGTGTTTACGAGTCGATGTTTCAGCGGTTCAACCATACGGTACAGCCGAGGTGTGTAGGTAATGATATCGACGAGTTTCGGTAATCACTCCGTAATTTGTTGGTTGATACCTCCGGACAGAAAAGAGAGTTAATTAGAAGATCGGAAAAGGCTTATTTCGTAAAAAATGTAAAGAGAGGTTGAGTTGGAATGTGAGAATTTTCGCACTTGCTATAGCGCACTCGGCCTTTCTTCAAACAATGTGGCTATACTCAAGTATACATTGAGCAGATCCTTCGCTTTATTCACTGTCAATTTACTCTTAACTAGATACGAGAAGCAAACTTTGAGTCTCACATTCTTAGGTTCGGTGGTAACTTGTTCTACATAACTGCGTAGCGGTAAAGAAGGAAATTTGATGTTAAGCTAGTTGGTGCGATTTCATTTTGTAACCTGTTATTTATATTCCTTATATTGTACTTGAGGGTTGAATTGCAACCTCAATGTCTGAGGTAAAGACGCGTTCGTGGATTATATCAAACATCAAATCAGGTTAAGTTCTAGACACCTTAACCAGATGGGTTCTATGTTAATCTAACAGCATTGCTTATAGTAAGTAAGATCACCAGTTTCTCATTAGGTGCATCGGAAAGTAGCGCTACGCATTTTCTATTGCTGTTTTATCACTTTATCTCAGGTTGGGGTATATTAATGAGCAATGTTCTAATAGGGGACGAATACGAGTTTTAAATCGGTAGATTTTAGATTTATTCAAAATAAAGGATTTTAATATTAGTCCTCCTAGTTTACGAGCTATTGCAATGGTATACTCCACCTGCTTAGCGAAATTGAAGGAGCTCGAGTCGTGTAGCCCAAAATAAAGAATGGTGAGACAGGTGGAAGTACTTTACCGTCTACCATCAAGGAAGTTGGTGCAGTACTGCACCAATAACATGCAGCTGTACTTCTCGGATGAGAGTTCTAGTTCCCACTTGTTGCACCAAGTATCCAGGTCGTGCGGATCTGCTTGTATGTCAACTAGGGCGTTAATGACGTTGTCCGAATGGAACTCATAAACAATTTTTATGTCAGCGGCAAATACATATGGTTTGTCGTGTTTGATAACATCGAAGACGTCGTTAATGTACATTAAAAAAGAGGCCCTAGAACACTTCCTTGGATCACGCCACTTGTGACGTTTCTACTTGTGGAAGTATTACATTGTATTTCTACTTCCTGGTGCAGACCAGTAAGGTACGATGGTATCCAAGAATGAAAGGAATGTAATTTCGATAGAAGATTCCCATGTGGTACCCGATCGAACGCTGTACGCATATCAAAAAATTTGATAAGCAAACGCTTACCACGGTCAATGGAACGGGTAACGACGCTTAGAAATTGTACTTGACGAGCAATACATGACCGTGTTCTCATAAATCCGTGCTGGGAAGTGTTGATCCAATTCCGGGACAATAGAAATTCGACGATTTTGGCTTTTAGTGGCCTTTCCATTTTTCCACACAGAATGGAGGTATGGATGATGGGCCGATAGCTCGTGCGTATTTGACGCGCGATACATTTGTATCGGTGAAACCAGCGCATATTTCCACATATCTCGCACAGCCCCAGATTTCATGGATAATGTAAAAATATTTTGAAGAAGTTGAGGATATCAAGGCCTTAGAATTTAAGCAGAGCAGACGGTATTCTATCCGGGCCAGGATAAAAGGTCGGTCGCACTGAGTTTAGAAGATTTCTTACGTCCGATTGCACAAATTCAACAGTAGTGATGTAATCCGAAGTTTTAGCATTGATGTTTATCATCGGAAATATGGATGGTTCTGTGAAAAACGATGGGAAGTATGTCTTGAAAAGCTCACACATCCGACCGGGTTTGCAGGAAGACGGTTGTTGTGTACTATAATGGAAGTTGGTACATCGTAATTAAAGTTGCCCCTGAGCCGGAATAACCAGGTCATTTTCTTAGGTTTATAGCAGGAGGCTAAAGCACTTGTCTCGTCCCTGAGATGTATTGTGAACCGAGCTGTTTCCAAGGAGGACTTCACTTGATTTTACTAGACTAACCGAATAAAACTGTTAACCATTTTAATTTTATATCGTAGCTTTTTGGCTTTTGTGTTGTATGCGACGGGATAGCGTTCTGACTCGTTTTGAGGGAAGTATACCTGTAACACATGGGGAAGAAGATATCTAGATCCGAGATTATACGTATAACATACCAGCTGCATGTTGAGATTCAGCGGAGAGAATATAGTCATCCCAGTTTAAAGATCGCAAGCTGATTGCAAAATCGTCCAATTTACTCTTGTGATAGCCACGAAAACTTATAACCTTGTTGGATGCGTCGGGATTGTAGGCCATTCCTTGGAAGCAGATATATGCTGTCTTGTGGTCATTCCCAGGAAGATTTGGGATGCATTTAATTCTAAGAATTACGTCTTTTGTAAAGATTAGGCCTAGCAATTATTCACTCCTTGATGAAGAGAAAATTTAATGAATCTATGCAAACACATGGATTGCTGAAACAAAAGGTAGACATTTTAATGGGGACCGTGGTGGATACCAGGAGAACTCAGGCATATTGAAATGTCCACCAATAATTTTCTTATTTGCCGGCTGCTCAGAAGCATATGAGAAGACTTCTGCAAGGTGACCGGTATCTGATTTAAGACAGTGTGGTGTGTTGTACACAAACAATAAGGATGGTCTTGCACTTTATTTGAATGTTAATCCAAACAGAGTCAACTAGGCCATATAGAAGTGGGTTGCAGAAAAAAAAGAAAATGATAACACAATAACGTAATGTATCTAACCATATCAGGTACTATTTTAATGCGTCAGTAACTACTGTGATTCAACCGTACAAGTACTTTTAAACAAAGTTCTACATACAGTCAGCAATAGTGACCGATAGATGGCTGCTGATTGACCCTTTATGCGCCACTGGCCGTCTCAGCGAGACGCATTTAGATCAAGCAAAATATTTTCAGTGTTACCTTCCGTCTTCGATATAGCATTAGAACGATTTTGGCATCAATTTCCGCTGATTGTGGAAGGTAGTTGTGATCAAAAAAATACACATTCACGTAATATGACAGAGCTGCGCTGGAAAACCTTTTCTAATTGAATAAAATTCCTCTTAAATGTTTTATTGGGACGGTTACGCAAACCACCCTAACAGTCACTCCAGCCGACATTTTTCGGCCAATCGTGTTACGCGCGAGGTCATTCCGAAGCGCATTGTTGGCAAAGACAAAAGCTGAGGTCCTGTCGGCTTTTTCCTGGACTAGCTAGTTTTTGCAGCCCGGTAATCCGGTACAACGTCTTGCCGTGATGCACCTTACAATGACAAAATACAAGCGGTACAGCGAACTCCGGCTTCCAGAGGAACGCTTTTTGAAACGGACATCCGCACTGATTATTAATTGTCAGAAATTTTATCGCATAAATCGCGTAACGGTTTTGTGATTTCCTCGGTTTGTCGGAGTAAGCTTTGAAAAATACTAAATAAGTTTATCTTCTGTTTGTACACTTTGAGATCATTTACAGAATGGCAGAAAAGGTAGTGAAATTGATCTAAAATTTACCAATACACACATGATGCCGCGATAGGATGCACCATGCCGCTCAAACGCGTAGTTCCTAAATTCTTCCCTATATAACAACGCATCGTTCGGTGTTAAATTTTAGCCTATACATGGATGTTATGTGCTCCACTGACATTGTACACTCCAACAATACACCTCCTTGTCACTTCTCCGCCTTTCTACTCAGGTATTGAGAACGGTGCTTGCCGAGGGTCAGACAAATACTCGAAGTCTGCTATTGTGAGCCAACCCACATCATTTTGAACATCGATGGCTTCTTTTGTCCCCATTTTAATGGAGGAGTGCTGTAGCACTGCAAAACACAATTTTTATCATAGTATTTTATTACAAGTTAACACCTTTATTAGTGGTCGATTGCACAATATAGGTTATTGTTTTATTGAATCCAAGTATACGCCCTGTAGGCACAGATAGACCTGCAGCCATCCCAGTCGGGCGTATTTTCGGTTACTCGTAAAGTAGCAAAATAATTAAAAAATAGCGTGTTATATTTAAAGATGACAATGTTAAAACGTACCGTTAACATTACTGGTCCATACATTTAGCTTACCACCTTTAAATAAAGTAGGATTCCAATAAGCGCTAGTGACCAGTAGACTGCTGATGAGTGACATATTTTTCTTCCTCTGGCCATCCAAGTGACACAAATTTAGAGCGAATTCCAGTCGATCCAAAACATTTTCAGTGTAGTCTTACGTCCTCAGTACACAACACAAGATTTCAAATCCACGTGTGCATGACTAAAACCAAACCGCCGTTAGACTATGGTTTATTGATCTACACCAATGCTGTGAAAGGTGATCGCCAACAACTGGATGAGTTGCAGAGATCTGTTACAAAGGGCCTGCTAGGATCAACTTCTCAAATCTCATTTGCACAGCGTTGCAAAGCCTTGCAACTAGATCCGATATAACTGAGACGGATAAAACATATATATATATATATATATATATATATGCACTCGTGGTTTTTTAACTGTGGTTCAGCGACATTTTGTCGCACACCTTTGGATCCATATTCATTCGTCGTGCTTTTACAAGCTCTACTTTTTGATACCAGTTTCCCGAGCATACCTCAGTGCATCCTACATTTACGCTGATTTCTAACTTCCGGGCCGTGTT